TATGTCAAAAAAATATAGATAAACCCCATTTATTTTTTTTACCATTCTATATTATATTAAACAAGAGCCGCAGAGCGTCTGGGCTCATCTGAGGTCTGTTGCTACGGTTATAAACGTAAAAATTTAAGTTGTGCGTAGTGACACCTTTGTAGCGCAGATATGCAGATACCGCAGTTGCGTACACATCATTTCAGCAACCTTCTGCATTCTGCATAACTCCCAAATTCCCATTGATTGATACAAAATCGCGTGCCTGAAACTAATGTTTTATGGTGCATTGTGACCCTAACCCTATTAAAACAAAAACAAAACAAGGTAGGCCAGTGATTAGTGGAACCGAATAAGCTCAAGAACGTACACATTTGCGTCTATATTGGTGCCACAAATTTTGATGAGAAAATTAAGTCTGGAATCCACAGCCTCACTCCTGGGTAATTATTTGAGTGCAGTGACTATTCCAACTATTCATAATGTACACTAACAGAATCTCATATTATAACTCAATCTCATTATCTCCTAAGTAAGCATTTGTTCAAGTAAGAAGTTATGTGTGGAATTTCACTGTAAAAGGAGCGTTCCACAACCACAGATACTCGCCAACGCAGTTGAGAAACATCAATGTTTAACCCCTCCTACAGGCTGCAATAGAGAGCTGCCACCTGTACTAATTAACGCAAGGCAAAAACTACACCAATACTATTCACCACAAATGCACTGCGTGCATATTAACACACTGACAGTACAGAATGCCATAGAAACTATACGATATAAGGAGCATAAACCTTCTTCAAGCAAATTTAGTTTTGAAATTTCACTGTGACATTGTAGCCTCATACATACCAGGCATGTATAGATTCTACTAGCAAACCCAGCAGTCAAATTCTTTCTAACACATAACAGTTAACAATCCATGTGTAAATCCTCCGTCTTGAGGTCAAAAGTTATCCGACACTTACTCTTCGCACGTCAGTGGAAAGCACATTTCATGTCCTTTCAATAGCAGCTATAAAAATGGTTAGGTCACCCGCTGAATCAAAAAAGTTTTTCAATTGCTCCGTCAGACCCATGTCCTCAGAAAATGTCTAAAAATCTGCCCTGTGCCCATTGACCTTTGACCTGTGACCTCCAATTTCGGCACAGTGATGGCTTTCCTACCATGATGCTATACACCGACTATCACAAGCCTAGGTCGAGCCGTTTAGAATTTGTGCCGCAATTCTGCATTTCCTCCCTATACCTTAAGTTAAGGAGTGAATGTTCCCCCTTATTTTACACCTCTTGACCTTTGACCTTTGAGCCCCCAGCTCGACATCCCAATCTGTTTTCGGATTACCCCCCACGTCGCGAATATCGTGACCGTACGTCGCAGCGCGTTAAGATTTGTGCCCAACTGTTGACGACGGACGCACGCGACGAGACGATCATGCGATTTCCACAAGCTGCATACGACTATGTCAGATGAGCTAATAATACTGTAGGTACTACCATTACTGTGTGTATAAATGACAAGAAATGTATTGTTACCTGTGCGCTGCAGCCTTGTTCCCTATATTTCTTTTAAAATCTATTCAGCTATCACTGTTTCAGTGATTGCCTCATTCTCCAGCAATGTAAATGTAACACCCCAAATTAAGTTCAGGTGCTTGTGGGCGCGGTCTATATTGCACAGAGTATAGGCTGGTTATAGTACATAAGCAATTAAAATTAGGACGATACAGGGACATTAAACCAATGAAATTTGGTGCTATGTCCTGAAAGTGTAGTTTGAGAAAAGGTATATAATTTGATGTATAACTGAAGTACTTGCGGACGCGTAATGACTTGTTTCAACATTTTCCTACAGCGCCCCTTGCCATTACAGTGAGAATAAAGTACAAAAATAAAAAACTTATTTTTATACAACTAATGAGATAAATTTATTCAACTATATAGTACATTTGCATAAAATAACATAAATGGCGAGAAAGCCCTGGCTAGGCAACATGGAGTGTAGTTGGAAGAAAACTGGCGAGGATATCATAAGTCAAAAACTAATTCATTGCTGAGATTGGCATTTACAATAGTTTGCCTTCGAGGAATTAATCCAGTGGAAATCCTCCTCTTATAGTGCCTCAAGGCCCCTGTTAGTTTTTACATTTTACACTTGCATAAGTGGAAGTATTTAATTAATTATGGGGGTCAGGTGTGCAATTGCATATGTACACTGTAGCTGCGACAGTATGTATTTATAATTGCTTATGGCAGTCTGTACATTATTTAATGACTCTTTTTAGCAAAAGGGTCGGTGGCCCTCACTGATTTTCTTAGCAGATAGGGCATGTCTCTTTGCCCCCTCATTACCATTGCCCATTGTGGCATTGGCTCTTATCACCTATGTTTCCAAATAACTATGTCTACAGAATACAATGAGTGACCAGTATTTGTCTTGGCATGTATTATTGTGTATATTGCAAAATACAGCACTCAAATGCAAAAGGGGCACTATGTAAGTCCATGGCAAACAAATTAAATCCCTGCACATGAACTAAAGTCTCGGGATAGATGAAAACAGTTTTACCCCTTCAGGAAAAATGGCACTTAGGAAATTATTAAGAAATGGGGGCATAACAATCCAAGCACACACACTCGTTCGCCGTGCCCAGGTGTATAATAAATATACGTGGTAATAGTTGGCACGTATATAAATGGTTATCACTCAAAGCATTGGTCTTCTGGATTGAACATGACCGCTGTGCAGGTAATTGCGAGGTGGTCTAGTAGCTGAGATATAGTTGGTCAGGCTCACTAGTGTAGCCATGAAGGGCCTCCAATATTGTTGACATGGCACGCCGCCCATTTGTTGATAAGTTCTTCTAATCTCACAATCATTCTGAAATAATAGATTCCTTAAATGCTTATCAATAAATACACGTTAGTTGTAAGTGATACTTAGTTTTGTTAAGTGATACACGGATACAGCATCCTAACTGCAATAGCAGTTTAAAGTTGAGCAATTTCAAGAACGGCAAAAATAATGTGATAGGGGTAGTAGCAGTAAAATTGTACATTTCTGTGTCCGAGGTATTACTGTAAGTGTAAATGGTCAATGGAATGAACATGTGTAGTCGGAGTATAGCACTGTGTATACTATTATTTTTCACAATGCGTACTCATGCAACAGATGCATGTTTTACTCACCTTGCTTTTATATAACTCTACCATCTGTAATTTCCGAAGTTTGTCTTCCTTGATTACGAGTTCTCATGCAAGCTCGACTCTGACGTCCATCCATTGTTTGCAGACGTCTAACTGGTGTATCACGGCCATCGAAACTGGCATCTCCATCATTCAGTTTTAATTCTTTTTACGCTATCGATAATACGCCTATTACATTCACTGTCACTAGCGTCTCTTGAATCGATTCAATAGGCGCTCTGGCTGTCGCCCACCTGGAGTTTTGATGCCTGTTGTTTTTTTTAAAATTGATTTGTTCATTTGACCTGGGCACCACAGCAATTGTTGTTTGTTTCGAATAGTGTCTTTTTATGGAGTGACTGTGTCACAATTCGTGTAGTTGTTTGAGGATTTACTGCGAGCGTACCGCATCCAGAACTAAACGAGAGTAGTTGTGTGCTGCATTTAAAATCCGTCTTTGACGGAAGAGAAAGGGCTGGCAGCCAGAACATCTGCCGACTTCGTCGCGACACATGTTACTGATGCCGCTCTGTTTGGGGTCACGGTTGGAGTTCGGTGGTGACCTGTAGACTTCTCCACTTCTCCGTAGCCTGGATTTATGTGACTCACTAACTGAAACCACATGTATAAAACGATGATAGAGTATTAATTAGCTCAAACATGAACATCACTGGCACATGCATGACAACTTAACTCACTGACACTGTAAATTGTTCAAGACTATATCCCTTCTACAGTTACACTTGTCATTTACACTAGCTGCCACTGGAGCCACAGGCACTTTAAGCGTTTCAATAAAATATAATGCTAAACTAAATACGAAATTATTTACTACCAATATCTTAATGTTTCTATACTTCTCTTTCACCTATTATTGCGACAGTTTCCTGTAAATTCTCGTCCAAAGTCCTACGTGCACACCTGCGTGACGTACACTTGCGTCACGCACGAACTCGGCTATCTCCGAAGTTGAATGCATACAGCCTGCTGATGGTGCTGGTGGTTGCGCATGGTCATATTCCATACTACGCATATCAACTTCCGCATCAGACTTTTCGTATATCGAGAAATGATGCAAAAACCCTAACCCTAACCCTAACACTAACAATAAACCGACTCGGTTATCTTATATACACGTGTTATAGTACCAAACACTATCTATGGTGGTAGATATCATAGCTACTGACGTCACACTGATGTACACTGACGTCACGCTGATACTCTGTTTCATGGAAACATGCCCACCGGGAACTAGTTTCCCCTCCCCCCCTGTTTCAATTTCATCCTGGGGAGAACCCTGATGTCATCATTACATTACAAAAAAATCACTAAGCTCCACAGACGAGCCATTTATCTCACACAGCTCGCCTTACCATAGTGTAAATTCTTCGGGCTGGCATCCAAACTCAATAAGGGTACAAGAACATGTGTTCTACATATAGTATTATTTGTATGATGTATGAAATTCATTGGTGCTGATGATGGTGGAGGCAGTGGTATTAATAATCTTCTTGGAAAATGAGTAAATCTGTTATTCTGCGGCACTTGTCGTTATTAAACTGAATACTGTTCAACTGAAGGATATACGAGAATGCGTTGGGCCATTGGAGACTTTGAATGAATTGAATCTCCAAGTGAGGGGCCTAATTCAAGATCTGCGGACTAATATCACTGTGAGTATTTATTGCTTACATTGTCATTACGATATTAAATGCAACGGTGATACCTGAACATTACTGCTGACATTCCCAAGAATAATTTGGAACTGAATATTTAAGGAAAAAAGAGTCTAGTAGCATTTTTTAAAGCATGTTGTCAACATTGGATTGTGTAGGGTATTATTAAATATAAATTTGGTATATATGTACAATATTCTTGCTACATGCAGTAAATTGTAGTAGAATTGATTAACCATTATTGGAGCCATTTTTCTTATATATAGTTTTTCCCATAAATTTTATTCAAGGGTAGATGTTACTGTAAGATGTGCTTACCTAAATTTTAAGGAACTAGGTAAACTTGCACGAGAACAAGACAAGGAAACGGATACTATTGCGATATTGAAGGATGCGGAGATGTATGGAAAACAGCTTGACGGGTGAGAAGCTTTCGTAGCATCAGATGACTAAATGTCAACTACTCAGAAAATTTGTCTGTCCGATATGGCCCAGGGCTTAATCCAGGCCATTTTTCATACCGAATACCGGCGCCCAAATTACGACTCCTAGCAAAACACCCAAATTACAAAATTCATAAAACACCTAAATTAGCAGAACTCTGATGCAGATCTCCATGTTTCTATCATTATGTAGGAACTGTTTTATAATAAAATGCTCATATAAGATCTATAATCTATTATCTGAATAAAATGTGTTGACCAAACGCCCAATTTAATGTGATAGATAAGTATATATATGTTTTTTTTATGCTCGCTACGCTCGCCATGGGTGCCCATATTAAGCTGCTAGATTAGGCCCCATTGCCGTTTTTAGCTCACCTTGACATCGTCAAGATGAGCTATTGCCATTGGTGTGTCGTCCGTCGTACGTCCGTCCGTCAACATTTGGCTACGGTCAACGATAACTCAAGAACCGTTTGACCCACATGTTTCAAATTGCATATAGTTTTCAAGTGGAATACGCCAGTTGACCTACGTTCGAGCCACGTACGTCCACCTTTTGGCAAAAATGGAAATGGCCACAAGTCAGTTCAGGTTCAATGGGTTTTGCTCATTTCTAGTATGTGATTGAATAAGGACTGGCCCCAAAACATATCACACAGGTTTTGATTTATTTTTTAAATTAGGTAGATTTTGGCAATTTCACTATGCATCGATACTGGATAGCTTTGCGGGTGGAATACCAACAAGTAACAAGTCGACTCACACACATGTCAAAAAATATAGATAAACCCCCATTTATTTTTTTCCCATTCTATATTATATTAAATAATACTGTAGGTACTACCATTACTGTGTGTATAAATGACAAGAAATGTATTGTTACCTTGTCGCTGCAGCCTTGTTCCCCTATATTTCTTTTAAAATCTATTCAGCCATCACTGTTTCAGTGATTGCCTCATTCTCCAGCAATGTAAATGTAACCCCCCAAAATAAGTCAGGGCTGTGGGGGTCTATATTGCAGAGTATAGGCTGGTTATAGTGCATAAGCAATTAAAATTAGGAACGATACAGGGACATTAAAACCAATGAAATTTGGTGCTATGTCCTGAAAGTGTAGTTTGAGAAAAGGTATAATAATTGATGCTATAACTGGAGTACTTAGGGACGGTATGACTTGTTTCAACATTTTCCTACAGAACTCCTTGCCATTACAGTGAGAATAAAGTACAAAAATAAGAAACTTATTTTATACAACTATGAGATAATTTATTCAATATATAGTACATTTGCATAAATAACATAAATGGCGAGAAAGCCCTGGCTAGGCAACATGGAGTGTAGTTGGAAGAAACTGGCGAGGATATCATAAGTCAAAACTAATTCATTGCTGAGATGGCATTTACAATATTTGCCTTCGAGGAATTAATCCAGTGGAAATACTCCTCTTATAGTGCCTCCAAGGCCCCCTGTTAGTTTTTACATTTTACACTTGCATAAGTGGAGTATAATTAATTATGGGGTCAGGTGTGCAATTGCATATGTACACTGTAGCTGCGAAAGTATGTATTTAGAATGCTATATGGCAGTCTGTACAAATTATTTAATGACTCATTTTAGCAAAAGGGTCGGTGGCCCTCACTGATTTTCTTAGCAGATAGGGCATGTCTCTTGCCCCCTCACTTACCATTGCCCATTGTGGCATGGTTCTTATCACCTATGTTTCCAAATAACTATGTCTACAGAATACCAATGAGTGACCAGTATTTATCTTGGCATGTATTATTTGTTATATTGCAAAATACAGCACTCAAATGCAAAAGTGGCACTATGTAGTCCATGGCAAACAAATTAAATCCCTGCACATGAACTAAAGTCTGGGGATAGATGAAAACAGTTTTACCCCTTCAGGAAAAATGGCACTTGGGAATTATTAAGAAATGGGGGGCATAACAATCCAAGCACACACACCTTCGCTGTGCCCGTGTATAACAATATACGTGGTAATAGTTTGCACGTATATAAAGGTTATCACTCAAAGCATTGGTCTTCTGGATTGAACATGACCACTGATGCAGGAATCTGGAGGTGGTCTAGTAGCTGAGATATGGTTGGTCTAGGCTCACTAGTGTAGCCATGAAGGGCCTCCAATATTTGTTGACTGGCACCGCGCCATTTGTTGATAAGTTCTTCTAATCTCACCAAATCATTCTGAAATAATAGATTCTTTAAATGCTTATCAATAAATACACGTTAGTTTGTAAGTGATACTTAGTTTGTAAGTGATACACGGATACAGCATCCTAACTGCAATAGCAGTTTAAAGTTGAGCAATTTCAAGAACGGCAAAAATAATGTGATAGGGGTAGTAGGAGTAAAATTGTACATTTCTGTGTCACGAGGTATTACTATAAGTGTAAATGGGTCAATGGAATGAACATGTGTAGTCGGAGTATAGCACTGTGTATACTATTATTTTTCACAATGCGTACTCATGCAACAGATGCATGTTTTACTCACCTTGCTTTTATATAACTCTACCATCTGTAATTTCCGAAGTTTGTCTTCCTTGATTACGAGTTCTTCTTGCAAGCTTGACTCTGACGTCCATCCAGTTGTTGCAACGTCTACTGGTGTATCACGGCCATCGAAACTGGCATCTCCATCATTCAGTTTAATTCTTTTTACGCTATCGATAATACGCCTATTACATTCACTGTCACTACGTCTCTTGAATCGATTCAATAGGCGCTCTGGCTGTCGCCCACCTGGAGTATTTGATGCCTGTTGTTTTTTTAAATTGATTTGTTCATTTGACCTGGGCACCACAGCAATGTTGTTTGTTTCGAATAGTGTCTTTTTAGGAGTGGACTGGTCGCAATCGTGTATGTTTTGAGAATTTACTGCGAGCGTACTGCATCCAGAACTAACGAGAGTAGTTGGTGTGGCTGATTTTAAAATCCGTCTTTGCGGAAGAGAAGGGCTGGCAGCCAGAACATCTGCCGACTTCGTCCGACACATGTTAGTGATGCCGCTCTGTGGGGTCACGATTGGAGTTCGTGGTGACCTGTAGACTCTTCCACTTCTCCGTAGCCTGGACTTTAGTGACTCACTCAACTGAAACCACATGTATAAAACGATGATAGAGTATTAATTAGCTCAAACATGAACATCACTGGCACATGCATGACAACTTAACTCACTGACACTGTAACTTGTTCAAGACTATATCCCTTCTACAGTTACACTGTCATTTACACTAGCTGCCACTGGAGCCACAGGCACTTTAAGCGTTTCAATAAAATATAATGCTAACTAAATACGAAATCTATTTACTACCAAATTCTTAATGTTTCTATACTTCTTTCACCTATTATTGCGACAGTTTCCTGTAAATTCCGTCCAAATCCTACGTGCAACC